TTCAAGCTTTCCCTCTTCATGCTCCGTCGTCGATCGAAGAAATCAAATGCGTCGGTCGACATGGGTTCCGATAAAGGCTTGTGGCAGCGGCTGTTGGCCTCCATTCGCCCTCTCCACATCCAAGACAACGAATCGCCTCCAACCATAGTCCACACATCGTTGGCTCCAAAACCGATAGAAGTTTACGAGGAGTCACCAATACCATTGTCATCATCGCCATCCTCGTCGTTTTCATCGTTGACATTGTTTTCTTGTACGTCGATGTCGTCTTCTTTTTGCACAAGACAACATGCCTCTGAACCCAACCTTCAAGAACTCGACCACGATAGCGAAAGCGACAATGATGTAAACACCATTGACGGAGGCGACAAAATGATCGATGCAAAGGCGGACGAGTTCATAGCGCAATTCTACGAACAAATGAGGCGTCAACAAAATGGGTTTGCATGAGAGATGGAGTGTGCATGGCTCTTCAATTATTTTATCTTTTTGTTATTTATTTAGAAGAATTAATTTAAAATTCCTCATAATTTATGAAAGAAAAAAATGAATTTTGGAATTAAATTGGTGTAATTAAATAAGCTAATTCCCATTAAATTGTGATTAATGTTCATAAAGTTAATTTAAGATGAAGATCAACAGCACCCACATGATTTGGTAATCCCTTTTCACCATCCAATTTACACCCTGAAGATTCCATTTTTCCGAACATCCACCGCCCTGATGACGCCGATACGCCGCCGTACGCCGCCGTAAAGTACTCGTTGCGGCTCCGAGGCAGAATTCTAGAATCACCACTACTGCCAATGTTGGCCGGGTAAACGTTGGTGTAAAGCGGCGGCGGTCGGAGTGCGTGGAAATAAAGGGCGCGTTTGGCCCTTTGGCGCTCTCTCTTGTGGGCATTCTGGTGGCCACCGAGGGCCTGCGAGTTGGCAAATACTCGGCGGCAGAATTGACAGCGGAACTTTCTGTCGTCGTCGGAGTTGATATCGCCGCCACTCCCTTCGGGGGTTTCCGGTTGAACGCCGTTGTGCTCGACGAGTGGGAACCCGAATAGCTTGAGAATGGACATTTTATTGGACGGAGCAATATTGTTTTGGTGTGTTCCCATGTTCGTCTCGCTCATGTAGGCTACATTTATAGGTTTTTTTTTTTTTTTTTTTTTTTCAAATTGGAGATTTGAAGAAATTTGCGTGTTAGGGCTTCTGAAATTGGAGATATGATGCAATTACTCTACTTACGCTGTAGAGGACTCCTCGTTCGGCGCTAAGGCGGACTTGGCGGAGGAAGGGGAGATTATGGTAGTTGGCGGTGGAGATGCGGCCTCCGCGTGGGTTGAACACATCGGCGCGCTCAGAACGACCGATGTTGTGCTTCAATCGGAGTGTGCATATGGTTTCTTCGAAGCCATTTTCCGATTCTGATTCGATGTATCTTCCTCTTGATCTCTCCTGTTCATCTCTCTCTGGCAGAAGCACGTCGAAATCTTCATCGACTTGCACGATTCTGTCCCTCTCGTCGTCTTCTCCCTTCAGCCGNGGTTTTTTTTTTTTTTTTTTTTTTTCAAATATAATTCTCGGGAAATCTCTTAGAGATTCGTGTCTTTTTGAGACAAAATTCATATGATATACATTATTGTGTTTGCATGGTAGCTTGTTACGTATCGTCATCAGCCTCACGGTTGTAAAACGTGTATGATAAGAAGAACTTTCTACACTTTTATAATGAATGCTTCATTCTCATCTCTAATCGATGTGGGGTCTCACAATCCACCCCCTTAAGGGTTTAGCGTCCTCGCTGACATACTGCTCGTTACGTATCATCATCAGCCTTCTATGTTAAGGAGATGTTTCCGCACTCTTATAATCAATGTTTCATTCCCATCTCTAATCGATGTGGGGTCTCACAATCCACTCATTTGAGGGCCCAACGTCCCTCGCTGGCACACTGCTCGATACCCTAACTCTAATACCATATGTAGTCCTAGTCCACCATATATTGTTCGTCAATGAATCAAAATCTCATTTTTATGATATGATTGTTTAACAGTTGATGAGACCTTTTGTGGACTATAAATTGTATAAGAATCTTTGCATACTCTTCTCTTCTATCCTCAGCCTTTAATTAATATTTTTATTTAATTTATTAATTTGAACCAAACTTAATATTCAAATAATATAATTTTAATTTTAAGAAGAAAATTCGTAGTGGAAGGAGAGTTGAATTTTTGCAACAATATTCGTATCAAACAGAAGATGGACAAAGATCTAAATGAAGGATATCTTTTAAGATATGTGTCCATCAAATCTCGAGGTCATAAAAGGAGGACGGATCGGATCGGATCGAATCAACTCTTATTATTTTTTGGAATTTCAATCATTTATAGAAATTATTTACTAAAATAATTATCACGTAATCATAATGAAATGAAATATGATTAGATTAATGTTGTTAGATTTTGATTAGATTAAGGATAGAATTACGGGACGATATGTGTTTATGTGTCGTTTTGTAATTGGATGATTGAGTTGAGATGTCGGCATGTTTGTTTTTTTTTCTTTTTTCTTAAAAACCGAGATAAAAAATGAAAAATAAAATTGGTTCAATTTTGTTTTGGAAACTATAATTGTCGTGTCAGTTGGAATCGGTCCAAAAAAAACTTGCAATTATTTTGAAGACTAAAGATATTTGACGATTATAATAGATGTTATTATGTGTTATGGTTTTAATTATTAATGGAACACGTAGAATAAGTAAGATTTTTTAAAATCATTAAAAAAATGAACAACTTGACGAGCGACCTAACCCTAAAAACAGAGAGTTGGGTTATGAACCCTACTCGGGTCATTTTGAATCGGTCCAAAAAAAACTTTCAATCCAACCCATATAGACCTCTATAACGTTAATGCATTTACATAAGCTATGTAAATTGATTGTGTCGCATATGGATATTAAGTGGAACGACTATCAGATACTAAATACAACATTTTTGAAAAATGAATTTAACTATAACACCTACCCGAACGAAAAAAATTATATATCTATTAGAGGTTACAAACAAATGAAAGTGTTCGTGTTTATCTTAAGAGTACTTAAAGTGTTAGTGACGTACAATCTGTCTTTTAGCTATGTTTGTTGAATCAAGTTGATTTAACGATGTTTGTACCAACTTTTTCTTACACTCGTAGTTATAATTGTCGTGTCATTTCACTTTCGTAATAGTCACCCCACTTGAACGGTTACTATTTGATCAATACTTTATAAAACTTGAAAATCAAGCAAAAATAAATAAATAAATAAATAAATATATATATATATAGTGTAACACTTACAAAATTATTGCACGAACTGTTGGTCCCCTGCCAGTGTCATGATGGCGTCAAATCCATCATTCCCTTGCGCTGATTGGACTAAAATTATTTGAGTGGGCTGTGGTGGGCCTGGCCCATTATCACTAGGCCCACTAAACCCAAAAGAAAAAAAAGGTTTGATAGATTGATGGATGGATGGAATGAGAGATTGTGATCAAATTCAAGTACACCCAATAGGCCCCTCTTCTTTATTTCTCCACTTTCAACTATTACTATTTTGATGTATTTCACTTTCTTTTTCAAACCCGTGTCGTTCGTTCGTTCGTCTCGTATGTTATTTTGCATCATCCGCTCTTGTTTTAGATACCTTAACGTGTTAATGCAGATGTAAGAATATTTCGACTTGGTCTAGAAGTTTACTTAGGTCTAACGAGTGGTTTTGCATGAATAAAAGCTTTTTTGTTCTTTTTTGGTTTTAAAGAATGTCTCGTAATAACTTAGAACGATATGTAACAGCTCAAGCCTACTGCTAATAGATATTGTCTACTCTTTGATCTATTATGTCAGTCTCACAATTTTAAAACGTGTCTATTAGGAAAAAGTTTTCACGCTCTTACAATGAATGTTTTGTTCCCTTCTTCAATTGATGTGGGACCTCACATGGTACGATGGTGTTACGATCCCAATTTCATTCCAGATCACCACTCCATAACGTTCCAAGTCTCGGTTTTTTTTTTATTTTTTTTTGGGGAATCGTGAGGAAAGAAAAGCCTATAATTTTGCGACAAGTTATGTGGAGATGCACAATCTTGGTACTAAAGATTTGTCTGCCTCTCCTTACAAACGACAATCTAACAAAGTGTGTATAGGTGGATGCCTTCACTTTTTTTCTATAGCCTTCCCTTTCACTAACCAATGATACCACTTGTGGGGGACACCCCCACCCCTCGTTTTTTACACTGTAGCAGTCATAATGTATTATTAAACGTAAGAGAAATTGAATATCGATAATAAAACAACGAAACCCATAATAGAAGTTGGGTAGCAGTTGCATATGCTTTTCCCTATTGATGAATCTCGAACCACTCGAATTAGGAGGTTGGTTACCCATCTCTCCCATGGACCTTATGATTTGTCATGCGACCCTCCTAGACGCACCTAAAACAAACACATTTTTGTCGGTGTTAAACATCGAGCCAGATAGGATCGACAAAGATTGTTGCTTCCTGATTTTGTAAACTTGATTTTTAAAAACGACATTTTAAAAAAATAATTCAATAACATTATGATTTAAAAAAAGAAGGGCAAGAATTTCAAAGCTAGGGAATCTTTTGGAAGAGACAATTATGGGAAGAAAAGGATGGAAGTGATTAATTTAATTAAGCAAAGGGCATATGCCCCTAAGTTGTGAGGTCAACCATGCAAGGGATACCCCATTTGTCACTTTCAACTTCATTTCATTGCTTTATTTCTATCTTAATGTTTGTTCCTTTTTTCTTTTTTTCATTTTTTTCACAAAATTTTTAATTCTAGTTTATGATTCTACTTGTTATGCTACATTCTAAGACTATTCAAGTATGACAAGCCTACACATGATTTCGCCGAACGATCATACAAAATTTAGGTGAAGGAGTTGATGACTGATTGCATACATTTTGGAGTTATTCAGGTTTAGCAAGGCTAACATGATTTCGCCGAACAACATGAAATCAAATAAAGGGTTTAGCATGTCATGAACATGTAAAGGGTTAGCATGACATAGACATGTAGCCACAAGCAATACGCCTTAGACGAGCATGACCTCTAACACAAACTTAGCTTTGGCAAGCTGTTCACATGAGAGAGTCTACCATGTCAAGCTGCTCATATTCAGATGCTCTTGGGCTCTACTTATCCTACTTCCCGTGCTCCATCCATATCTCTTTAGCTTTATCTCAATAACAAATATTTGCCCAAAAAAGTTCGAACAGTAATAAATGTTAAACAAATTGGCATGTAATTTAAAGTATCACTCTTAAAAAGTTGTCTCAAACTTCTCTATTTCATAGTAACCATCTCCTTGCTCACCAGAATCATTGCATCTTAAGAAACTCAAAATTTGTCTCATTGAGTTTTTGTGCAGCAGATGTCAAAGTGGCATCACTTTTGCAGAAAGCAAACCTGATATATCTCTTTTGGTAGCTACGATCTTCCTCAACACGCTTGTCTTTCGACGAATTTGTTCGAAAAAATCCGCATCCTGGCACCGCCACCACTCCAGCACGTTTTATCAGTTCCTCAACACAATCAACCTGAAAGTAATCGATGAAAAAGAATGTCATTTCACTTAAATACAATGGCCAACCAAACTTAAGATTAAGTAGAGATATGTACATCAGTAAGTGAGCAATTTTTGGGGAGTTCTGCAAATAGAAAAAAGGAGCCTTGAGGCTCAAACTGGACTTGAAATCCAATATCGACGAGCAGCTTAATGATGAAGTCTCTTTTTGCCTCGTAGTCCTGCACGACAAACAATATATTCCATGAATGGAACATAGATAACAGAGGATGGAATGTGAGATTCGGTTCAATCGAATTGTGTACTCGTCTTAGTGACTCAAAATATTCCGGAGGACTTCGCAATGCAATCAAGGCAGCTTCCTGGAAAGGGGCTGGAGCAGAGTCTACAATTCTAGCATGAATGTTCCTCATTGCAGAGGCAATATAAGCAGGAGCAATTGCCCAACCAACCCGCCAACCTAAGTTATAGGAAACAGTAAGGCGAAACAACACGAGCACTTGTAAATTCATTAAATGCAAAGGTTTAGGTATGGATCTAGATGTAACCTGTAACAGAAAACGTCTTAGACAATGAAGATGTAATGATCGCCCTCGAGTGCATTCCCGGAAGTGTGGCAAGAGATACATGCTTTGCATTGCCAAATGTTACATACTCGTAAACCTGTCGAACGCATAGTGGAAAAACAAGTCCTTCAAGATGGGTAAAGTTATTCCCTGGCAGAGTGATATGATATTCAATGAACATGATTAATCATACTTCATCTGTTATGGCTAGGCAATCATTGGCGCAGCATGCTCCCGCAATTGTATCAAGTTCATCTTTGGAGAACACCTTTCCAGTTGGATTGTGAGGGCTGCGCAAACCATGAGTGCAGATTGTAGATCATCATATTAGAAAAATCACCAAAACAGAAGTTTCTTGCTTAGTATCTTATTGTTGTTCTGGATTGACAAGATCGACCATTCATCATTTATCTAATACAAGAAAAGGAAATGATATCCCAATAAGACCGTGCATTGACTCAATAAGTCATGATTTATAACTTGATTATCTAGACACGCATGTGAAATTCTTACCTGTTCAATACTAAAGCTTTTGTTCTATGCGTAAAGGACTTCAAAAGCTTATTTGGGTCCAGAGTCCACTGAGGTGGGTCAAGTGTTACATATACCTGTTCATTTTGAGTTCAAAAATCAGCTGGGAAATCAGTTATAGAAATCAGAGGAATCAATTTTAGACTAGAAACACAGTAACTTACTGGCACACCCCCAGCAATGGATACAACATTTGCATATGTATCAAATGACGGATCGAAAATTATAACTTCATCACCAGGGTTTATGACTATCAAATCAGAAGATATTAAGATTATAAAACACATTACATGAACTAGCAGGAAAACAACACAAAATACAAACGTGGAGACATGTACCGGAAAATACAGCAGCAGCAAATGCCTCAGTTTGGCCACAACAAATAGCAATATCGGTAAGAGGGTTAACATCTAAGCCATGTGTTTTCTTTGCTATACTCGCCAGTTCGTCACATATTCCCTGCACATGCCTTCTCTTTCAACACTATGTTCAGTAAATTTAAGAAGATGAATTGCATAAACATACTTTTTTTTAGAAGAAACAATGACAGAATTATCTCAAAAGGGAGGGGACGGAGGAACTTCTCAATAAGAATATGTAAATTGACAAACTGGATGTTGAAATTAATGGATCCAAATTCCTGGTACCATCACCAAGCATTTCCAGACATCATTACATACTCGCATCACAATCTTTATGCAATAACGAAATCAAGATAAGATAATACCGACGCCAGATATTGAAGTTACAAATTCGATTAGCATTATCGCCAAAAGTCACAGAACAATCCAAAAGCAGTGCAAGGCATCGTAAAGGAATAAGAATGAAGAAGTAAAGAGTAGAAGAATGAACCTGTACTGGTTGAAATCGGAGTTGATGGCTGAAATGGCGGCGTCTTTTAGGGTGAGCGGTGCCGGAAAATCAGGAAATCCTTCGGCGAGGTTGATGGCGTTGCATTGCTGAGCAATAAGAGAGAGTTTTTGAATTGATGAAGCGGTGAATCTCTTGGCTACAGAGGACAGCTTCTCCTCCTCCATGCCCAATTCTCAGCCAAGTTTCATCAGACGACGAACGGATTTTACAATGTAATTTATTTACTCAATTTTCTTATCTTTATCATTATCTTTATCTTTATCCTTTTCTTTTTTCTTAATTATAATTCTACCCAACCTGATAAATTAATTAAGAACCAAAAAAAATAAATAAACAAACATTTTAGATATCTTATTCTTTTTCTTGATTATAATTCTACTCAACTACTTGCTGGTTGGTTTTGGTTTGATCTTCTACACATGGCCTTCCTCATAAACCGCTCGGATCTCTCTGCTTCGACCTTCAACCATCTCTAATGTCCATTTCAAGACAGAGTCTGGTCAATATGGATATGCAGAAACAGAGGGTGTGCGTCCACTGCGGCACCACCGGACACCCCATCTGGAGAGTCGGTCCCAAGGGGCCAAGTGGTAACAACATAACTGTACATATGACTCAGATCATCAAGACTCTTCAAATATTTAGAATTATTAAGAGTCCCGTATTTACTACTTAAGAAGAAAGAACATGTGATTATGTGATTCCTAATATGGTATCATAATCATATTCTTAATTTAATCATGCTAATAGAATCTCAATAACTGAACAAAAAATTTGGGAGTCTCAAATATATAACCAAAAGTGACTCAAATGTCAAATAAAAAGTGTCTACAGTAGTATGAGATTTTCTTGAGCATAAATTCTTTTTAGGTTGGGTTTCTCTAAAAGGTCTCATAAACCCACTTATAAACTCATGATCTTTAAACTAACGTGAAACGCACTTCCACTTCCTATTGTTATTGTACTCACAACACCAATGAACGTAATTACACAAAGTTTGGAGAGAAGTTCCCCTACATCCACACCACTGGTAGCAACTAATCACTGATAAACAAATAAACAAAGTGTTAAGTGAATATCTTACTATCACACTACAAAAACTCTCACTAATATGTCACTCAAGAAATACAATGTGATACACAAAACTTCCTAAAATGCCGATACTTAATTAGGAATGGAAAGATAAATCTCTCATCCTCTTCGAGAATAGCATTACAAAATCAAATCCTAAAAGCATTACAGCTATTATATAGCATTAAATAGCATTACAAAATCAAATCTCTAACCCGACTGAATTAAATAACCAATCAAATCAAAACTTACCCCACTTTACAACACTCCCAATAATCCCACTACAAATAAGTGCTAAAAGTGTGAAGAAAGAATAGGAGCAGGATGGTTGAAGGTTCTAGGCACATCTACAACCAGGCGACAAGACACAAAAATAATAATTAAAAAAAATATGGAATAACCCAGAACTTACCACTTCAAGTACACGTGGACGCTGTGCTGTCCACGTTACGTACTCCACCCGCCACGTGCCATTTCCTCTTCCCATCTCTAGAAACTCCGCCTCTTTCCTTTTTAACCTCGCCGCAAACCGGAATTCGGAAGTCATAAACCATGCCATCCAGACTGACAGCGATCGCATCGAAACGGAATTGGGCCTTCTCTCTGGCCCAGTTTCAACGCCTCAGGCGATGTGGCTTGACGACATGTCGTACAGCTGACCCTTCCGTTCATGCCAACGACGACAACCACCCCGCCGTTCCATCCGGTGAACCCGAAGTATTTCTCCTCTCTCTTATATCATATCATGATTATAAGCGCTTTTCAAGGGAGCAATATTTTGAACTTTTTTTTGTTTTTGTTCTATTTTTGTAGCAATCACAGGATAATTTAGAGCCAGACCGTGCGAAAGCCAATTACGCAAGTGACGATTCCAAACAGGGAGATTCAAATGGGCCGTTTGCGCCACCGAAGGCTCAATACGCCTCCTCCCCTCGCTTAGAAACCACGCCGGTCGCCCAGGCCTCGAAGCCTATCACTCAACAAAAAAGAGCTCACAGTACGGTACTAGCCGACGTCAGCTGCATCGGCTTCGACGGCGGGCCGTTTCCCGAGGAGGAAAAAAACAGAGAAAAAGACCGTAAAGAACAGGAAGAAGACGAAAGAGAATACTACAAGCACCACAAGGCATCGCCGTTAGCCGAGATCGAGTTTGCGGACACGCGGAAGCCGATCACTAGAGCGACGGACGGGACGGCGTACGACGGCGGCGGTAAGGATGTGATAAGGTGGTTACCGGAGCAGGAGGATACAGTGGATGATTCTCTTCGAAGAGCGACGGAGATTTGGAAACAAAATGCGATGCGCGGGGATCCCGATGCTCCGCAGTCGAGGGTTCTTAGAGCTCTGCGTGGAGAACAGTTTTAAATAGAGTGTTACAATTGTAATTTCAATAAAACTTGAAATCCGATGTGGGAGCAGGAAGGTCGGTTGATTTATACCCTGCGTCTTCTACCCGACTCGGGTTCTAATCCGATGTGGGAGAACCAAGATGAATCCCGCACGATTGTTGGCACATGCGAATAGGGTTAAAATAATGGTCAATTTTTTGCTCGTCTTTTGATGATGGATGGTTCCGTAGAAGCTAAATCACTAGCCCACTGGCTTGTGCACTCTCGCCCATACACATGCGAGAAGTCTTCAACTAATTAATGATGGCGCCACCAAATTGCCAAATGCTCTGGCTTTATATTTCCTTTCAATCCTCTAGCTTCCATTTCACATCAATGGCGGATCTCACCTCCATTTTCCTCACTCTCTTCCTCTTCTCCCTCTCCAAATTCTCCCTCTCTTTGGCCACCGTCTCGGCCAGGGATCAGGTTGGCTGTTCCATGTGCTCCAGTTGCGACAACCCATGTCAACTCCCGCCACCGCCTCCTCCTCCTCCTCCTCCGTTGGTTGTTGACTGCCCACCGCCTCCCTCACCGCCGCCACCGCCACTCCCCAAACCCGAATGCCCGCCGCCTCCCTCGCCCCCTTCGTGCGATGCATGCGTCTACCCTTCACCGCCGCCACCGTCCTCCATCCAGCCGTACACTCCAACCGACGGTGGGCAATATCCCGGCGTTGCTCCGCCGCCGCCGAACCCAATTTTACCGTATTTTCCTTACTATTATTACACTCCGCCTTCTGGGTCTGGTAAATCCGTTCCATTTTCATGGAAGTTCTTGCCTTTGTTGTTCGTTCTTCGACTCTAAAAATGTTCCCGATTTGTTTACGACGCCATTGAAGATCGGGAATGGGCGGCGGAGGAGATCAAAAGAAGGGTAGTATAATGGAGAACATTATGTAGGGTGATTATGCATTAATGCCGTAAACTAAGATGTATTAATGATTCTTTATTCTACTTTGTTTACATTTTATAATCCAAATAACAATGTAATGTAATTATATGATAGAATTCAAATTCATCCATCCTGGCCCCGTTTCTTCCTCTCCTTAATTTAATTGCCATGTTCATGGAAATTATTATTATTATTATTGATGTAATTTAGATGATGATTTGACTTTTTGTGAAACAAAAAAAAAAAAAAAAAAAAAAAAAAAACAAATTTTTTAAAGAAAAATATAAAAATAATAATAATAATAATTTTAATTCTGATCCGTCCCAATATCTAAGTTACCCTCTAATCGATCAAATTTAATGTATTAAAAAGATATCTATAATACTATTGTTTTAATCAATAAAACTTAAATTTTCGAATTTCTCTAATGATAGGTACTATTTACGTGTTACGTGTTATTACTTTTCGTGTTGATTATTGCATAAAAAAGGGATGAGATTAGGATAGGTAGGGTTCCTTTGAGTAAAAGGGAAGTGTTTGTTAGAAATGCCATTAACTTTGGCACCAAAACTTTGAGCATTTTTTTGGATCATTGTTTCCCATGTGCATGCCTTTAGTGGTTGGTAGCTTAGCTTTCTTTTAGGATAGAGCTAATTGACGATTGAAAGAAAGAATAGTGTCATAATCTGAGATGCAATTGTGTCTTGAGTAAGTTATTGAGGATGACTGATTTTAAGTGAGGAGAGTGTCACAAAAGACAGTGGGTTATGACTCTCATGCAGTCGACAAGGTGGCGACCCTCAAGTGATGTCCATCCAACCACGTGAGAGCGAAGACAAACAAGTGTCACGATTACAAAATTCTCCATTTATTTTGTCGATTATGTTTAATGTATAATTTTTTTTTAATTTAATAATATTTCATAAGCGAAAACATAACTACTCTAAATATTCAGATTCAAATATTTCATAATTTATAAAGATTAAAAAATATATGTAACATCAAAGTACAAAAGGCATGCTTCATGTGATTGATATGAAACTCGAGAGCGACATGAAAAACATATAATAAAATAGAGACCACAAAAAAAAAAAGATATGTATTTAATTATCGAAGGTCGTTTTATATTTGTTCACACCTACAATTAATGCAAGTTCATAATTGTTTTTTTTTTCGTTTTTTTATTTTTTTAAAAAAAATTAGGTTAAAAAAGGTTTAATTTTACAATCCTAAATAAATAAATATATATATTATATTTAAAAGAATTATAAGTTAATATCTAAACTTTTAAATAGGTCTCTGAATTATAAATTTATTGGACACACGATCAAAATTTATTGGACTAAATTTGTAAAAGTCACTATTAACACATATTGTCATCAGTTTGATGATTTTAAAACGTGTTTATAGGGAAAAGTTTTCACATTCTTATAAAAAGAATATTTGGTTTATCTCTACAACTGATGTGAGATCTACAATCCACTGTCTTTGAGGGCTTAAATTCGCGTCTGGTTTCTATTAAATATAATTTATATATTAATTACCATTAAATTATTCTCGAGTTAATTTCGAAGTATAGCAATGCTATTAAATTAATCCAATTAATTTGTTGCCTCAATTATGATTACTTCTTGTTCTCTCCATGGCTCATTAATTTTGTACCATCTCCTAAGCTTGCGTGAAAGAGGGTTCAATCTACAATAATAGTTTCAATTCAGTCGATAATTCCAAAACTAAATGCAACCATAAAGTTATTCTAAGAAATAATGCATCATCCGACGGCTCTAAGAATATTTCATATTAAATATATTTTTTAATTTAAATATGCACATGAATCCAATGAAAAGTACGTAAATAAATGTTTTGTGGGTATCGCTCAAAAGGTACATTTTACTTTACATGATCGAC